GGAAGGAATAGTTATTTAAACCATGTGTGCTGATTTTTCAGGAGTCAAATTGGTTAAAGGGCCTGTCCTTTTTGGCCCTTTCAAGGGGAAGTTTCTGCCTGCCAATCCATTACTGTAACCATTGAACCAAACTCGCTAGTACAAAAAAAAAAAACTGATGATGATTTATTATTTTTTTGTGCATCACCAGATGTGTAAAATAAAACCACAGACATCTTGAACATCAGTCTGAAGTTCTATTTACGAACCCAGTTCAGAAAAAAGAAAAAAAACATTAGAAAAGTTATAAAAAAAAAATGTGGGTAGTAGTGATTTTCTAAGCACAACTTAGATATGGCACAAGGCCGAAAGTATGGGGCACCCAGTAAGGATCGAACTCACCACTCAGTCGTAATTGATCTAGCAAGACAAGCTTTCTAACCATTAAACCACATCGAGGTGCCCCCCCCCCCAAAAAAAGTGTATAGTATAGCTAGGGATATAGATAAAAAAAGAAGAGAAAGGTAATAAGTGAGAAAGAGAAATCAGAGAGTGGAAGGATGAGAATGTAATTGTGTTGATTAGGGAAATAGAAGTAATGAGGAAGTGGGAGAGAGAGGAATGGTTACAGTTGGACAGAAAGGCAGATAGAAACTCTAAAACGAATAATAAGAGAAAGCAAAGTGGTAGAGAGTACAAAAGAATTTAAGAATGTATTTTCTTCTTTCTTTTAATCATTTCACCCCAAGAAAGGCAATAAAGCCACTAAAACATAAGAAGTTAATCTCTTTTGGCTTATTGTCTTCCAGTCAATTTTAATCATCCAAAATTTAAATACAATATCAAGGATTATCTTCTGTCTTTTTAATCCCTGTATTTTCTTGTTATTTCTCCTTAATAATGTTTGTTTTTTTTCTCATACTCTCTAATACTCAGTAATCTCTTGTATCTAAGTGGCTCCATGGCTTTGTTTGGAGAAAGTGGATAAAAAAATAAACGTAACAAAAACAACAAAAGAATTTACTTATCTAAACAAAAAAACAGTAAATTAAGATTGGAATTTCAAACTGAACCCTTTATTTTATCCACTGGGGTAGATTGTTCTAGTTTCACGAGCCATGCCTCTTCTGGATATCTCAGTATCAGTTATCTCCCTTTAACTCAACTGTCCAAGTTTTTGTTCACCTCAACTGTAGTCAGGTATTGAACTCACAACTCTTTGGGCCAAGTCACTAGATTCAACCAATGCATTTATCCTTGGAGAGTTGAATTATAGCTAGATAACTGATACTGAAACATCTGGAAGAGGCATGACACTTGGAACTAGAACAATCTACCCCAGTGGACAAAATAAAGGATTCAAGTCAAAATTCCAATCACCTGATGAAGGCCAGAGCATACAACAGCTGAAACATCATAAATATGGCAATGAAGATGAGGACAATAGTCTGAACAATGTAAATAATGTTAATAATTACAGTCCCCCATCTCAGAAATATAGACAGATGCAGCAGGAAATAATTAAACATTTTAAGGCCAATGAACAAATGGATTGGTGAGAAACAGTCTGGCCTCTCTTTATAATCAAGTAGCAAATTAAATGTTTGCCAGGTTTTGAGTGGGAATTTTTTTTAAAATATTTTTTCTTCAATGACTTATCAAAGTAAACATTTAAAAAAAAAAGTTAACTTTACAGTTTTGCAAATTTCTTTAAAAAAAATAAAAATTAAAAAAAAAGAAAATGGAAAAAGAAAACATCCAAGTTGTGAAGTTAACTGTTAAAACATAATGTTGATTATGATGATTGTAAGCACTTCCTGTCCCACTAGGGAATGCTGGGATCAAGACAGATCCAGCAGGCAGTTTGAATAAATAAGCTGTTAAGTTTACCATGTCTCATATCATTTTTGTGTTGCTTTGACATTTCAGCAATCAGTCTCATATAACTTATCTTTCCACCCTAAGCCCAATGAAACATTAACAATTATGGAATTTTTTTGTTGTGTACTTACAATGCTTGGTAAGTTTATCTTGAATGGCCAGTTTGCTAGCAAAGCAAGTTCAATCCTCACAACTATATTTTTGTCACAAACTTGTAATCAAAACAAAAACCTTCAAAAACAATGAGACAAACAATGAAATGATAAGGAATGGAATCCCCTTGATCATCTCCCTGTGGAGCAGCAGTTAACTATGTATTATCACAGATATTTACTAATTTTAATTTTTTTTAATCATTTCCCCACAAGCAAGTCAGTAATGCTACTAGGATGCAGGGGGTTACAGGGAATTAAAGAGAATGAGAAGACTTTAGTGAAGAGAAGTGAGGAAAACGACATTAAGGGACCAGGGTTCACAAAGACAGAAAATGGTGATGGACATTGCATTTAACACTTTTTTCAAGGATGTGACTTTCCACTGGACTTATTCAACCCATACAGTGAGTCAATTCTGAGAGAAGTCTTACCAGGACTCATTATTGGAGGCAACAATCTTCACAACATAAGATATGCAGATGACACAGTGTTGATAGTAGACATAAAAAGAAAACTACAAAAGTTCCTGCAGATGGTAGTGGAGGAAAGCAAGAAGAAGGGACTAAGTATAAACTACAAGACAGAATGCATAAGCCCAAAATGCAAATTACAAATTGGATATATCAAAATCAAACAAATGTGGAAATTTAAATATCTGGGAAATGTTTTAACAGAATATGGGAAATGTGACACTGATAGCCAAAGATGCATTCAAAAAGCTAAGCAAAGTATTAAGAGAGAGAAAAACTTCATTAGAAACAAAGAAAAGAGTACTGAACTGTTATGTAATATCTGCCCTACTATATGGCAATAAATGCTAGACAAGAAGAAGAGACATGAAGCAACAATAATGTGGTTTTACACAAAGGATACTATAGATTGAATATATGAGCAATGACAAAGTTTTGGAAAAAATGGAAACAAAAAGGAAAACTTATACTTAACATCAGGAAGAAGCAGTTGAAGTTTCTAGGGTACATAATGAGGAAAGAAGGCTTGGAAAAATCTGATACTAACATGACAGATTGAGGGAAAGAAGGACATAGGAAAACAACATATAATATACTTGACAAGCTTGAGAAAATGGATGTCAGAACAGAGTTTAGAAATAAAGAGGAAAGAGAATTTATTTAGAGCTGCAAGGAACAGGAAATCGTGGAGAGCCATGATCATCTATGTCATAAGGGGACACAGCACATAAAGAAGAAGGTGGCAAGAAAGGAAGGGCAAGGAAAGGCAAGAAGTGCAAGAAAACAAACTATTAAAATAGAACTGACAGTTGCATCTAACTAGTTTAAGAGTAAAACAGTGGGACCTAATTGCCAATCTAGTAGAATGCTTAAATGGATGCAGTTGAGGGACTAAAAAGAACAGCTCATCACAAAAATATTTTTAAGAAAGAAAGTTATGTCACATTGGTAAGAAAGTGACTGAAGTCAAGATGCCACATGAGGATTGATTGCATTACAGACCCTTGTTTGAATTTTTCAAAAATCTCAAGATATACAGTTGGACCACCAGACCAGATATGGCAACAGTATTCAATGCACACATCAATGGTATGTCTATAAACATCATTTTGGGGTACTGTGATGTGGTGTAATGGTTAACAAGCTTGTCTCAGGTAGTCAGTTAAGTGCCACACTTGATACACACTTGGGCGATTATGCATCTTTTGATACATGACTGACGAGGCAGGGGATTTTTCCCGCAGTAGGTTGCCATTTTTTTCTGTGATAGACCAGTTGCCAACCAAGACTAAAGAACCCAGGCTGTCCTGTTATTTAACCCATAGCTGGGAGGGAGAATAGATGGATTCTTACCTTTCCCAAAGGTATTTGTGTATAAGTGAATATAAAGAACTCAACTGGAATTCAAACTTGGCTCTCTGAGTTCTCATTCTGTGTCGATATCCATTACACCACAAGGCACAAAGCTTGTCTCACTACATCAATTAAGACTGAATAGTAAGTTCAGTCCTCATTTGTTGCTCCATACTTCTGGCCTTGTGCCACATCTAAGCTACATTTAAAAAATCACCATAACTGACTCTTCTTTGAATTTTTGTCAAGAATCTTGAGATGAGTTTACTTCTTACTAAGTGTCCTTGGTCAAGATAAACTTTGTACCAATTCTTGGGAACTGGTGCCCTTAAATGCACTTGACTGTTTGCAAAATAATGCACTGCCCAACACGTTGAGAAATCTGAAATTGCATCAGGCAATTAAATTAAATTTTATACTCGTAAGATATTAAAGAAAAGAAAGGGAAACAATTAATGAAAACTGGTTACAGAAAACAATTTTTCAACAAGCAGAATTTTCGAGTTACGATTCACATAGCTTGTTTTTTAATAAAAATTCAATGCCTTTCCGGAAAGAAAAGCTAAAACCTTCCTGCCATCAGTTCTCATTTTTTTGTTTCACAATAATGTTCACCTTGTAAAAGACCCAAGAGCCACTCAAGGTAGAGGGTGACAGAGTAAGCGTTAAGCAACACAGTTTATGAAGATATGTGGGGAAGATAACAGTTAACCCTAGACTTGAACTTGAGGTTATGGTTTCAGTGATTGAGGAAGCATCCTCTTGGGAGTCAACAAAATAGCAGTTCATGAGAAGAAGCTGCTTGAGTGCTCCTTCCATATTTTACCAATGAAATATGGAAGGAATAAAGGTGGTTTGCTACAATGTGTGTGGCATGACGAGTCTTAGAACTGGTGGAACTAAGGAATGTAGTTTATCAGAACACTTTTCATGGAAATAGCAATAGAGTAGCAAGAGCAGTACAACATTTCACCTGCAGGAAAGAAGTTTTAGGATGGAGAATAATTCATCACCCACAAGGCCGTGTAGACGCTTTTGGACGCTATCAAGACGTTGGGGAGGTGAGGACTTGGCAGACCCTGCTTTTACATGACAGCAATACTCCATTTCATTGATACAGGTAAGCTATTCTCATAGGTAAGGGCAAAGAAAAGATACTAACCCAGGACTTGCAAAACATTTGTTTGTATGGCATTCATCCTGAAAGATAAAGAAAAAGAAATATATGAAGAATATTGAATAGAAAAATTCGCTTTTCAAATTAAAAAAAAGTGTGCATATATTTTCAAGCTCAGGGGAAAGATGTATGACAAAGTGGAAAAAGGTTTCATGTGACACGTTTCGATCTTTAGGACTTCATCAGACAGAGTTTGCTTGCTACACATGCACATGAACAATAAAAATTTAATTTTTTTTATGTTTATAATCTGGCCAATTTCATTTAGATTCTTTTCCTTTTTGTTTCCATCACCTTTGTTGTTAAATATGCCACATTGCGATAACAGAAAACCCATCAAAAATGAAGAAACATTGTAAGAAACTCGATACAAATTTACTAAATCAAATTTTAGCAAGTTGGCCATTTGTTTCTTTATTTTAATAACACAAACCAACATTTCTAATAAAAAATATTTCTTACAATGTTACTGTTTAAAAGTAGGATTTATAATCAGATATATCAAAAACTTCCTACATTTTCACTATTTACATATTCGGACTATTGTCGTCATCTTTGTCACCATATTTGCAGTGGATAAAGGCGTTAGATCCAGTGACAGAATTCAAAGAGTGTGAGTTCAATACTCAGCTAATCTTGGCAAAATCCTGTCCGACACCAGATATTCTTGAAAATGATATTAACCCTGAGTTTCATAAAAATTTGTTAATCTGTTGCATTTTTATAACAAATAAAAACTCTGACTATCTCAATCAACAAAGTTTGACAAATCCTGTCAATAATGACAGGACTTGTCAAACTTTGACCAAATATGTTTCCTGTTTATGGAAAACCCTTGCAAACTGCAACACCGTCTTTTCTGAGTATTTCACACAAGTGATTCTTTACAAAACAATTTGTGAAGCTATTTCTCCTTCTTTTAAATTTTACACAACATTTAAGACTATAGTGTTATTAGTCAGTGACTACATGTTATTAAACTCTGAGACATACACACACACATATATATATACTAGCTTAAAAGCCACCCTATCAGGCTGCATTTAAGCTAACTCATGTGAAGGGCTCTTGATTGGGCCTTTGGATTGTTCAGGATTTTGATAGTCCCTAAGTCTTTGTATATTCCCAGCATTGGAAGCTCTCCTGACTGCTGTTTGAGCTGGGTTTTCATTTGTGCAGGACTTTCTTTTCCTTGCTGCAGCCTTGGCTCTTTTGATTGCAATCTGCTCCTCTGTTGGCAGAGATTTCTTTTTGCAAGGCATGCTACTGCCGTATGCGATAGGAAACAATAAACTACAGAAAAAACTCAAAACTAATTGCTGAATTTAAGTATTGCTTTAATATTTAACCCTATCTTTTAAAAGTCCAATGTTATTTCTTTTGCTGACACTTAATTTAAAGACAATTTGATGTATGTAGGTCCTTATTTTCCATACAAACAATTATTTTTATTTCAGGAGTGACTTTTGTTGGATTTTGCAATTAATTTTGATTATTCCCAAATTTATTTCCAAGTTATGAAAATCATTATCGTACAAAAAAATTTGTTTCAAAGAATCACATGAGAAAAAAAATTGCCAAAATCACAGTAATGAAAACTTGGGAATCCAAAATTTCAGGATTGTGGGTCCAGATCTGCCCCAGAGTGTTTTTAATTTGCTTACAGAGTCAGCCTGATTCCAAAATGGTATGATTTGTTGGGCTATGACCTCTAGGAGTAAAGTTGAAAAAGCGTGACACACTGACATTCACATTTATTATATAGTATTGTAGGACTAGTTTGTCTCATCTAACTTTTGGTGGAGGTTTATTTGCTTCTACATACAAACTTCCTACAGAACTTGAGAAACATAATAATAAAATTTAATGAAAAATTTTTATAATAGAAAGATTTTATAAATTACACAGGAAAAGGCATTGGCTGCTCGGTCAATGAATGCCAAATGTTTCTCTATAAGAAAACAACTAATATTACCATTTCAATCAGAAAGGCATGAATCCACTTCTCCCAGTAGTTCATGTCAAGGATTACACCCTGTTGCTGATACCATGCAACTCAATACAACCTGTCATATGCTATTTCAGAAGCAAAATGATTGCTACCAAATTATCACTATTATGACAACAAATAAATGTTATGAAGTACCCAGCATGGGACCCAAGTGATCTATTAAGCCATAAAATAATTTGAATTGGTTTACTTTGGTTTGGTTTATGGCATATCAACCTCAATGGATTATTTAATGCTGACAAAATTTTTATTTCTGGTAATATCTTTTCTTTTCAAAAATATATTGCTGGTAATAAATCTTTTTTAAAAAGTATTTCTGGTATCAAAACCTATTTTTACACTTACATAGTGTTTTGACCCCAGTTTAGGGGCTAACTATTTACCCATAGTTGGGATGCTAACAGGTGCTACCACCCTAGGTCAGGGTGGACCTGGGAACACCAGCAATTAAGAGGTGGTTCCACACTCCTCAAAACCTTCTGATCCTTGTTGTTGGACATAGTTCATCGTGTTACCCAGGATGGTAATTTGAATTGAGATTTACATAAAATAAAAATATGTAGTAAAAATGATTAAATAAGGGATAATGTTGACATGTTTCGCTATTTATTTAGCTTCATCAGAAACCTTTAGAAAGTGGCATAATGTGGATTTGTTCTTATTTTTAAATTTTGGATGCATGGATGGTGAAATGGATATGGCTCGGAATTATTAATTGAAAAGCTGAGTTCCAATTATGGTGAACTTGTTATATACACTTATGCGCAAATATCTTTGGGAAAGGTATGAATCCACCTCTTCTCCCTCCCGCTATGGGTTAATTAGTAACACTTACATCATGAGATAATTATTATCTCAAAAAAATTCTTACAATCTAAAAATATTTTCTGGCTTTAAATAACCTTCAATGGCTGTCTATATTTCTTAGATGAGGTATTTTAACTATTTACACTATTTACATTGTTCAAACTGTTGTCCTCATCTTTATTGTAATATTCACAATGCTTTGGCCATTGTACACTCCAGCCTTCTTCAGGTGATGTACGTTGAAATTTCGAAGCAAACCCTTTATCATGGTCCAGTGGATAAAAGCATTGGTTGAAGTAATCCTGTGACTTGACCCAAAGAGTTTTGAGTTCAATCCCTGGCCACAACAGGGGTGAACAAAAACTTGGAGTGTTAAGTTACTAAAGGGAAATAACTGAAACTAAGATATCCAGAAAAGGCATGGCATGTGGAACTAGAACAATCTATCTCAGTGGACAAAATAAAGGCTTTGGTTCAAAATTCCAATGTATATCACTTTAAGGAGGCTGGAGCGTACAACATCCGAAACATTGTGAATATTACAATAAAGATGAGCACAGCAGTCTGAACAATGTAAATAGGGTAAATAACCTGCAATGGGTTGATAAGCCATAAAAAATGAATCAATTCAAATTCTGCGCCATTTTATTTTTATTGTCTTGGTGGATGTTCATTTTATGATGTTTGTATGTATCAGTTTTTTGCATCATGTTTTTATCTAATGGCATGTGTGTTTAAATGTGTAGTTAAAAGAAAGATGGTTACATTAGCGTATTTTGAACTCATGATAAATATGATGAATTTTAGAAGTGAATGTGTGCTACGAGGTAAAATCTGAATGTCTGCTTAATAAATTATTTGTCAGAGAAGTTAAATGAACAGAAAGATGTAGCATTAATTATTGCTCTTTTTATAGCTTATATGAAAATATGAAACATTGAAATTTGTTGTTTCAAATGGCCAAAGCAAAAATATGTACAAGATGCGATGGGTAAATTGTCGCCATTTTATATGTTTAATTTCAGGAATGTATGTTGTTTGTTTTTGATTTTGTCGACTGCACAATATAACAGGGTCAGTTGGGTACTATCTGTAAGAAAAAGAATACCATGACGCAATTCAGTCTGCCAGAAATTTGGAAACAGCATGCTATACTGCTTGCCATTCACACTGGAAGCTCCAATACAAACATTTCAGAGTGTTTGGGTGTCAATTGTGGAAAAATTGATGGTTCAGGTGGGAGGAGTAAGGTAATTACCTGGGTTGCTGTCCTGGACATTAAAAGTTGTTATGTTCTTTTTACCAATTTTGTTACCACATGACCACTGAAGTGGTTATATTAAGGAAATATATTTTCCTCATTTTTTTACCTTTGTTGTATGACCCAAATTGTCTGATAGAGAAACTGTCGTGAAAGTGGATATTTTTTTTTTTGCAACTTCAAGTAAGTACCTTTGCTCATTTCCCTGGCCTGCACCATCACAAATTTCCTTTGTCTTGAGTCGAGATTTTCTTGACACAATCTAAGAAGAGTGCAGAGGTTTCAAAAAGAGTTGGATGAGTCTAATAGTGATTACGAAGGCACAGCAGCTCGGAAAACTCACTCTGATCCTTATGATAAGAGAAGAACTACCAAATTTGTTAGTGAGAGCCTCAGACTCAACACGGAGGCCTACATCAAGTGTCTTGAGTGCTACCCTGGGTGACTGCTGGAAGACCCTATATCTGGCAACAGAACTCCACAACATGCCACACAAACAGGAGAACCTAGTCATGGCTGTCAGACAATTTCTGCAACCACATCACCCCTTACATCTGGACACCTAACCCCCCAGGCTGCAACCCCCTTGATTATTATGTGTGGGGTACAGTTGAGCAAAAAACCATCCAGAAGAGTTGCAGGAGATTCCAAAGTCATCTGAAGGCTGTGGTTGAAGTCAATGTGATTTTAGTGAATAAATTTAATCTTTGGTATTTCAAGATAGTTTTGTGTAATTTTGGTAAATATATCTGTTAAAATGAAATGTCAGTGTTATTTTCAATTTTGTGTCATTAAGACGACAATTTATCCATCGCACCCCATCTGCATAAAATCAGAAGTTGTGATTGTTTTCAAGAAAGTTTTTATTAAAAGTCACTAATCCTGTCCTTTAGTTTGTGCTATTTAATCCCCGATTTAAACTGATCTCAAAAATCAGCTTCAACTATTGTTAACTGGTGCAAGAAATTACTTGTTAATTTTAATGCCTCCAAAACTAAACTACTCACTTTTAAGAGAGTAACTCATTGCACCATCTTGAACTAATGTTTCCCACCGATATAAATTGGAATGCTTATGCTGAGTTAATCGCTAAATCTGATCCTAAGGAAGCTGATTCACTGTATCATGCTCAACAGTTTTTCTTGCCAGAATCTATCGTAAACCTTTATATGAATATAGTTGTTATAACTGATCTGGAGTTTTAGCATTGCATCTAGAGATTCTTGATAAAATCCAAAGAAGAATCTGCAATGTTATCAGTCCTGACCTGGCATCTTCAATCACTTTCCCACTGTGGCAACATAGCTTCCTTATACCTTTTCTATAAATATTTTCATAGCAATTGTGCTGTTGACCATCTCCCTTTGGTACCTCAACTTAAATGCAGTACTAGATTGGCAGCTAGGTCTCATCATTTTACTGTTGAAATTGCTAGATGTAACCATATGTTCTATTCTAGTAGGTCCTTCTCTCATACTTCTCGCTTGCAGAAATCTCTTCTGGTTTCCTGTCACCTATAATCTTAAAAAATTTAAATACAATATCAGTTGTCACCTTCTGTCTTTTTAAATCCTGTTCTTTTATTGTCCTTTCTCCTCAGTAACATTTTTTACAATTTCTTTCATTCTCAGTAACCTCTTATGTTTTAGCAGTTTTATTGTCTTAGGTTTTTTCATAAGTAATTTCTTACTGTTCCATCCAATTGTAATGATGCTAAACAATTTTTTCCACCAGAATCTATCTTATCCCAGAAGTCGTTCATATATTGAATATTATTCCTACATCACATCTGGTGCTCCTGCCATGCATCTAAAGATTCATGACAAAATCCAAAGAAGAATCTGCAATGCTATCAGTCCTGACCTGGCATCTCAGCTGCAATCAATTTCCCACTGCCATAACGTAGCTTCCCTGTGTCTTTTTTATAAATATTTTCATGGCAATTGTTCCACTTTGGTACTTCAACTTCATGAATTTAAGCAGAGTACTAGATTGGCAGTTAGGTTTCATCATTTTCCTGTTGAAATTGCTGAGTGTAACTCTGTAGGTTTTATTCCAATAGATTTTTCTCACTCACTTCTCACCTGCAAAACACTTTTCCAGCTTCTGGCTTTCCTCTCAACTACAATTTACAAAGTTTTAAATGCAATGCCAATCATCATCTTCTGTCTCCTTCAATCCTGGTCTTTTTATTGTCCACTCTCCTAAATAATTATGGTTTTTCAATTTCTTTCAATATCAGTAATCACTTGCGTCTTAGTGGCTTTATCATCTTGCTTGGGAATGGAGAAAAAACAAATAAAACCAAACAAAACAAAAATACTATTTAATCTGTTTATATTTTACAAATAAGAGGATGCAGGAAAATAAATTTGTTACTTACCCCAAGTTCTCCATGATGTTGCCGAATGTTTTTCTGCTTGCTTTCATCTCAATAAATGACCTAAAAAAAAGAAAATTGTGTTTGAAATCCTGAATTACTTTTTCAATTTTAAGATCAGTCAGATACACAACTGAAAGATGAATTCTCAATTTCCTGATTGTTTTTTAATCAGAGTTTGTCAAAACTGACAACAAAAACTAAATTGCTTCGATCATTTTCATTCATTTTGTCTGGTTCCAATACAACCACCAAAGTTAAGCAACATCAATCCCTAAGATTACAATCAACCTGCCAGGTAGATTAGGCAAAAACAGCAAAATATTTAAGAAAATTTTATGCAGTAATAGATTCGTTAGACAATTATTTTTGAATATATGATAAAACCCTTTTGGAAGAAAATGACCTTCTGGTCTGAAATGAACTAATAAATTAGGATATATATATATATATATATATATATATATATATATATATATATATATATATATATATATATATATAATATGATATATAATATATATATATATATATGTTATATAATTATTATAATCTATAATATTAATATTATTATTATTATATAATATTATATATTTTATTATATTTATTATTTATTTTACATTTAATATATTTCAAATATTGAATATATTAATATTTATTATATTTGATATTTAATATATTTTATTATATATATTATATTATTATATTGTTATTATAATATAATATTATTCTAATATTATTATTATATTATTATTATAATATTATTATTATTATTATTATACAATTATATATTATTATACAATTATTATATATTATATATAATATATATATAATATATATAGCAAAATCGGATAAATAAGAAGTGCACTAATAAATTAGGCATGCAACATTCAATATTTAGGGCACACTTCAAAATCCAGCAGTTGGCCAACAACTTTTGATATATAGGGAGTGTGTGTATGTGGAGGGATCATATATATATATATAAACACATATGACTAAGTCTCATATTTTCCTTAAAAAATAATTAATTATAAAAATAATTTGCATAACTATATACCTATTATTTGATCATAAATAAAATAGTTTATAAATGAGTAATTAAATTCTAATATTTTAATTTTACAATACCATATATAGTTTATTAGTAAATATAATAAATATATTATTTTTGATCTTTATAAACATAAATGACTTAATCATGTTTGAAAATTCCTTTAAGAAAATCTTGATGTATTTTAAAAAATAGAAAAATAAATAAAAAATAAATAAATAAAAATGCCAATTGTTTTGTAGTGTAGCCCCAAAAAACAGACCGTGATGACACATTCAAATAAAAGGAAGTCAGTATCAACAGAGAGAAATTTCAAACCCCATGTAATGTTAACAGATTCTCACTTTGCCACATAAAAATATACTTGTATCTTCATTCACCAAAAAAATCAACAGCCCCTTAATAAAAAAATTTGAACTCTCACTCCCCCACCAACTTAAAATATATAATACTATTTGGCTTATAAATAGAGTAAATTTATTTTTTTTAAAGTTATTCTGCATTGCTTGAAAATGTAAGAAAAACTTTAAATTTTAAGTTTAATTTAAGATTTAGGTTTTAATTTCAAAACATGGTAATTTCTGCGTCACAATGAATACATATTTTTAAAAAAATAATTATGAATCTGACTGTTCTTTCTTTTCATTTATATATATATATATATAAGTAGATTTATCTGTAACCTTGGAAACGTGATTTTAGCTGTGTCTTTAAAACCCAGTAATTTTAAAAGTTACTTCAAATTTCACTTGAGGATGAAATGGAAATAATGTCTTTAATTTAATTGCAAAATTAAATTTGTGGCTTTTTAGCTTCCATTTTTGAAACATGGTTAGAACTGTGTAGGGAAAAAAAAAAAATTTTAAATCAATTAATTTATAATATATATATATATATATATATATATATATATATATTATAAATTAATTTATTTAAAATAGGTTTTTTCCTACATAGTTCTAACCATGGCTATAAAAATTTGGATTTTGTTTTTGGTGTCAGAACTCACCTCCAAAGTTTGTAAAAGTATTTTTGATACATTGCTATATATATATATATATATATATATATATATATATATATATATATAAAAATATAATTGTATTATATATATATACATATAAAATATAATTGTATTATATATATATATATATATAAAAAATATAATTGTATTATATATATATATATATATAAAATATAATTGTATTATATATATATATATATATATATATATATATAATACAATTATATTTATATATATATATATATATATATATATATATATATAATGAATTATTTTTATATATATATATATAATACAATTATATTTTATATATATATATATATATATATATATATATATAATTATATTTTATATGTATATATATAATACAATTATATTTTATTTATATATATATATATATATATATGTAGTGTGTATCAAAATACTTTTTACAAACTTTGGAGGTGAGTTCTGACACCAAAAACAAAATCCAAATTTTTGAAACATCTTTAGAACTGTGTAGGGAAAAACATATTTTAAATAAATTAATTTATAAATATATATATATATATATATATATATAATACAATTATATTTTATATATATATATATATATATAATACAATTATATTTTATATATATATATATATATAATACAATTATATTTTATATATATATATATATATATATATATATATGTAGTAATGTATCAAAATACTTTTACAAACTTTGGAGGTGAGTTCCTGACACCAAAACAAAATCCAAAGTTTGTAAAAGTATTTTTGATACACCCTCTATTTATTGGGTTTTCTTCCACGTCCAGGCAAGTTCTCTGTCATGCCAAACTGTTTAAACTTCTTTATAGCAGACTGTACCATAAATCTATCTAGAGATAATGATGTAACTATTTCCTGACTTGTGGAAGTTAATAATTCTCTGTCTTAAGTCAACGCTAAGCTCCTTTGTCTTCTCCATTGTGTTGTTAATGTAAGAATAACAATGGTGACACTCTATGCACTACGTGATGTTCTTTGCTGGAATTATCACAAATATTCTACTGTATAAATACTCTAGAAGGCTCCACCAATAAAATAATTATGCAAATTACTTATACTTACACAAAAAATCAATGTAAAACGATATTTTCTACTGTACAAATAATTTTGTCTTTTCCTATTTTGCATTGTTTACCTGTCAAATTTGTTGTATTTAACCAATTGTTCTGAAAATTGAGTTTTATATTCCTTTTTGTGTATTTATTAACATATAAAAATTCTGGCATCATGTGGGTGTTAGATTCTTAAAAATCAATAAAAATATTCAAAATGGATGGGTGTACGAATAATTTTGTCATTGACTATATATATATATATATATATATATATATATATATATATATATATATATATATATATATATATATATATATACACAGTGGGTAGCAAAAGTATTTATCACATTGGTTTTTCTTACATATCTCAAAAAATAACAGATCAATTTCAACGAAATTTATAGGAAATGTTTAAACAAACATTGTCGATCAAAACATAGAAGGAAATTTTAAAACCACTGTTTTGAGAAACATTTATTAACAATAAATAAAATAACCCATATGCAAAAGTATTTAACACACTTTACTAATATTTAGTACAGTAGCCTCTGTTCTGGTTCACACCCTCCAGTCGTTTCCCGTAGTCTTCAACTAGTTTCTTGCTGGTACTTGTTGGTATTTTGACTCATTCTTCTTCACAAATTTTCTTCAATTTGTTTAAATTCAATGGATTTCTTTTATGAACTCGTAACTTCAATAGTTTCCACAAATTTTCGATTGGATTTAAATCCGGTGACTGGCTTGGCCATTCCAGGACATTAATGTCATTATTATAAACCAATTTTTAGTTGTTTTAGCAGTATGCTTCGGGTCATTGTCTTGCTGAAATACAAAATCACGACCATGTCCCAAACATGTGGCACTGTTCAAGAGTTGAGTTGATAAAATTTGAGTGTATTTTGCAGCATTCATTGTTCCTTTGATGATTTTCATTTTTCCTACTCCATTTGAGGAAAAACAACCCCACATCATAATATTTCCACCCCCATATTTGACTGTAGGGATGGTATTTTCTGGCTCGTAGTCCGCTCCTTCTTTCCTCCATACATCAGTGCGCATGTTTCGTACGTAAAGCTCAATTTTCGTTTCAACTGGCCAAATTACTTTCTCCCCAAAATCATCAGATTCAATTTCATATTTCTTTACAAAATTCAAACAGGCTTGTACATGTTGGTGTTTCAGTAATGGAGTCTTTCTCGGTGATCTTGAAGTGAGACCTGCACGATTCAGTGATCTTTTAATTGCATCTTTACTAACTTCAATTCCAGCATTTTTCAAATCATTATGAATTTCTCAATGAGTTGAAAATAGATTTTTCTTCACAGTATGGGAAATGTATCGCTCATTAGCCTCATTTAAGATATAAGGACGACCATTCCTTTGAATGTTTTCAATAGCATTGAATTTTTTCCATTTTCAAACAACTAACTGTACTTACAAGCAAATTCAAATCTTAAGCGATTTTTCTATATCCCTTACCATCTTTGTGATTCTTTATGATCTTCTTGCACATGTCATTCGACAATTCTTTTGTTTTCACCATTTTCTTGCAGTAGTGGCAACAGAATAGCTGCAGTGTATCAGAGCTGTTATCTAATAGCCAGTTGAGTGTCGTGCAGTGCTGTCATTGGTCGATATATCATATCGTATCAATATGGGTAGGAATCATGACGACATGTCTCTTCTAGCATAATATTTGCATTCATGTTAAATACTTTTGCATATGGGTTATTTTATTTATTGTTAATAAATGTTTCTCAAAACAGTGGTTTTAAATTTTCCTTCTATGTTTTGATCGACAATGTTCGTTTAAATATTTCCTATAAGTTTCATTGAAATTGATCTGTTATTTTTTGAGATATGTAAGAAAAACCAATGTGTTAAATACTTTTGCT